AATAATCTTACTTACATTTCCTAGAGGTTTAATGAAGCGTAAAGAAGATTTTCTTTACAATTCAGTCGACATGGATGTGGCTGAGATGCAGGCTGGGAATAGCCGCGTACAATATCCAAAATTCCGTGTTTTCGACAAAGTGATATCGCCAATCGCCAAGTACGTTTAATTACTATTTAGATATTCACTATTTAGTTCAACACAATTAGAGATATCACCATCCACATCGCAATGTAAGCATGTTGGTGGCGCTGTATTGGACCAGTAAGTAACCTACATCATCTAGTGACCTTTTTCACCTGTGATAGATTGTATACTGTGGTGCTGAAGATGTCGTCAGCTATCAATGACTTGACTAAAACGATTAACAACATGTCGTCCGCCATTATGGACTTGAATGTTAATGTTAACCAATTGCTTTCAAAGTCTAATGAGCGCGAAAGACCGCATCAATTCGATTGCGGACTGTCAAGTCATCAGTTCCCTTTGTCATCTGAAGAGGAACTACAGATGCTAGATACTGCTTTGTCGCAGAAAGAAACCAGGGACAGATTTGTAAGTCATTTACATGAATTTGATAATTTGTTACTATTACAGATGGCAATGGTCACTAGGTTATCAGGTGACGATCCAAAAACGTCCATGCGTTTTGTTCTGTCGCGCTTTCTCATAGTTAAAGAACTTGATGTAGAGTCGTGAATTCCATTCAATTGATTGTTCCACAGTGATCCGTAGTGTTGTAATTTGGTCTGTATACGATCGACCCTTACAGAATACAGCCTGTTGGTCTCAAGTTAGGTGTTTACGGATTCCTTTATTCTGTGTAACAACACCCTGTTCAAGGCTTTCCTGGTATTGAGAGAAGAGTGACACCTTTGTGGTTATTACACTAGCTGAGATAGCCTTTCTTTGGTATCTTTATCAGATGTCCTTCTTTCCAGTTTGTTATTACTTGTTCATCGTCGCAAATTTTGCTGAAGAGAATGTGAATGCAGTTACTGCTACTTCTGATTTCAGCGCCTTTGCTGATGATATTCCTAAAACCGCTACCATCATCTTGATCAGACACTACGAATTTTTGCATAAGACTTTTGGCCTAAGAAATTCTGTACAATTTTTCCAGGGATTGATCAATGACGTTTTTCGAGTGCGTTTATTTAGACGATTGCATGGTATCAAATCCGGACAGAAAAACTCATTTCCATCATCTTGACCCTGTTCTCAAACGAAAACATTTATGTAAACATTCAGAAATGTCGTATTGGAACCGATCCCCTAGATTGTTTTCGGATGTATTAACAATGCTCAAGGCATCCAACTTCTGCAAAACGATACGGCGGCCACTTCGGATTACCCACAATCAAGCAATTAAGTACGTTCTACGGCTTGGTTAGTTTTTATTGATAGTTCATACTGAATTGCGCGTCTCTCTTGAGACCCTTAATCGATCAACTTCGTGGAAATGCGAGATCCATCCATTTGGACGATAATGCAAGAGAAGAATTCACCACAGTTGAGGAACTCACTGCAAATACAAACATGCTTGCATACCAGGACACCAAAGCGCCTATTGGTATCACGGTAGACGCATCGAACACGGCACATTCAACACTGTTGAAGGTCGAGAATTCACCCTTTTCGCCGACCATAAACCTCTTACTTTTTTGTTAAGCTCATCTTCAGACAAGTACTCCTCTAGAGAGTTTCGACAACTGGACCACATTTCACAGCTTACTTAAGATATACAACACTTTGTATCGCATAACTTCTCTGAACAGCTTCCGAGGAATCGATCCTCTTAATCTCGCGCAGCTTCAGCACGAATAATCTCCACTAACCCCTAAATTATGGATCAGATGGTAAAAAGTAAGGAAACATTACTTTGTGACAATCATGCCGAAGTGTTATCGACGTAACATCTTCAATACTTTGCACGAACGTACACATCCAAGTGTTCATAATGGAACAATATTGCTGGCTTGGTATGAATAAAGACGTGAGAAAATAGGAACACTATCGTGCAAACTGCCAAACTCTGGGGTGATCGGACACATCAAATATCTTTTAGGATCTTTTACGGCTCCCAGCGCTCGAATCAATCATGTTCAATTTAAAACAATTAGTCCCTTTGATAAATTCCGATAATGATATTAGAAGACGAAGATTAACAGAACTATGTGATATATTAGCGCAATACATTTCGAACAATCTGGTCGCACATATACTTGTTAAGAGCATTTATATATAAAAATAAAAGGTCAACTAGACAGGAAACGGGGTAAGAGGAGATAAGGATAATGATAAGAGTAATAATAATAATAATGTGAACACAAAGCGAACCCTAATCACTCTGGATAATAGGTCAATATTACGAGGGTAGGTTTAAGGTAAGAACAAACTGTTTTTGAACACATAAAGGGGGTTTGAATTTTCGTATGGCTAAGGCTTCAATAAACCTTAGTATACGCCCTTTTACACTTTTATACAGCACTACAAAAGCTGAATTTAGATCAATCTTGTGACCTGTTTCAATTATATGTTTAGCAATAGAGGATGATGGATGTTTATTCTCTGCTCTTATTGGGTCACTTGATTGTATTTGTTTCTGAAGCCATCTGGGTACATGTTCACTCACCCTAATGTTGAGATCACGATTACTCCTCCCTATGTATGTGTGACCACACACACATTAAAATTGGTAAACACAGTGGGATGTGATGCAATCGTTTCCATGTACTTTAGGTTTCGAATGAAGCATGCACCTTGTTCTTTCTTTGATGATGACCTTTGTCATGCAATAAGTTTTATTGATGACTGATTTAAGTCGTTGTTTCAATAAAAGGCTATTTGAATCACCTCTGAATGGTAAGGTGATGTAGACAGGCTTTTTCTCTACTGAGACTACATTAGGTCTCGCTGTACCATGGACTTTCCATCTATTTATGAATTTCAGAGGATAGCCGTTTTCTATTAACGTTTTATTTAACAACTTAACATCATCACTTGCGTCATTGGTACAAATACGGTCGAGTCTGTTGAAAAGACACCTTATCAAACCACGTTTGTATTGCACAGGGCAATAACTATAATAACTAAGATATTGACCTGTCCACGTTGGTTTTCTAAAAGTAGATCGCTTTACTGAACCATCTTCTCGTCTACTCAGGAGTATATCTAGGAAGGGAAGCTGATCGTTTTTCTCCTCTTCACGTGAGAGACTAATATGGTTTTGGAGAGTGTTGAGTTTATTTAATAAACCGAACATATCCTCTTTTCTCTCACAAACAACTAAGATATCATCCACATATCTCTTATAAAGTGACATGTTTCCGTTTAATTCATCAGTCTGATTTTCAACATGTGCCATGAACACATCTGCTAGTAATGGTCCTAGCGGACTACCCATAGCAACTCCATCGATCTGACGAAAGTATTCACCTTCAAAAGTGAACTGAACTTTGTCGGTACATAGTAATAGTAAATCTTTAAGAAGTTTTACAGGTACACGTGATTGAAAATTGTTTCAGATATGTAATCACATAATATATCAATAGTTCAATTTGATGTGTTGGGACCCTTGCCAGATTTAGATGGGCACAGATACCTCATAATGTGTGTAGACAGTTTTGCACGATGGCCAGAAGCAACACCTATCAAAGATATTACTGCCGAAACGGAGGTTAGGTCCTTCACTGAACAATCAGTAGTGGAATTCGGCTCACCTTCAACTATCAACACGAAATATGAAAACAAATATAAATCTAGAATTTATTAATATCCCACTACACAACCAGGAATCACACGATTCTAAAGGATTGCCTATCACTCAGACTGAGAGCTTATGGCGAACTGACTTCTGATTTTGCAATCTCAAGTGGTATCCATCAAGACTGTCCACTATCTCCATTTTTGTCCAACTTCATCATAGACCTACTGATGGAAATAATGTTCTCGTCGACTGAATTCTCGGGCATTGATCTCCCTTTAAGAGGTCCACCTATCGACTTAGAATACGCAAATGACATAGTCCTGTTTGGTGAAGACGCTGATAAAGTGCAGTCTTTTGGCAGCACTAAACAACAATGCCAGGATGTTTGGGATGCGTTTCTCTCTCGCTAAATGCAAATTGTTGCTTCACGACTGGTCTGCGTCAACACCTGAACTAAGGATAGGGAGTGAAGTGGTCGAACACGTCGACAACGTCACTTATCTTGGAAGTCTGATCAGCCCCAGTGCGTTAGTGTCTGGAGAAATCTCAGCACGGATTCAGAAAGCTCTTTTGGCTTTCGCCAACTTACGCCACCTATGGGGGAGGCGAAATATCCATCTATCAGTTAAGGGACGAGTATACTACGCAGCAGTTCGTTCTGTTTTACTTTGTGGCTGCGAAACGTGACTATTAAGAGTAGAAGATACTCGTAAGTTACTAGTATTTGACCACAGATGCCTTAGAAATATTGCCAGCATTTGTTGGGATCACCGGGTAAGTAATAGTGAGGTTAGATGCAGGATATTAGTGAATGATTGTAAATCAGGTAATGAGGATGTGAATCTTCATTGACTGGGATGGTTGGGCCACGTAGTACACATGCCCAACCGCCGACTACCACGACGCGAAATGCTGACTAGGGTTGGAGACAGATGGAAGGTTAGGGGCGGCCAAACCAAAACATGGCATCAGTCCATAGAGTCACTAACTTCTAGGTTGAGTCATGTTGGTAGATACAGACTACTTGGTTTGTGTCTGCGTGACTATCGTAACCAATGGTTGAAGACTCTGGGTAACATGGCTCAGTATCGATCACAATGACGTGGGTGTATACACTTTTTGTCTTCCGTCAAACTAAGAGATTAAAATTGCTTTATATCTTTCTTTCTACGAACTAATTCTTCCTTCCTGTACTATATCCTTATAAACAATCTTTCTCTCATACACTACTACCATTGAAGTGACTACTTCTATGAATTAGGTGTTCATTTTGTTGTGCTAATGAGATGTGGCAACTTGAACCGATGTATATATGTGCCTGGTCCTACGTTGTAGCTGACTGACTGTAAGGACTAACAATGGTCAACCGACTTATTGTTCTGATTACTGAAGATTAAACTATCTCACTTGTACCCTCGAGGACCATAATTCGCTGAATAGATTAAGAAACAAACGAAGTTGCAATAATGCTAGCTACCGACCAATGTAACTTAGAACCTACTTGGTTGTTAGCCTAATCTGTGCATACAATGATATGAAGAATGAAGCGCTTTAAATGAATCTTGAGCAATAAATTCCGCTGTTGGAAGTCGCTATCAAACACTACAGTCATTTTGAAGTTGTGAATCTTTAAGGGACTTTACTCTTACGTATGTCTTAATAGTCTCACCAGCTAAATCGACCAATAAACTGGCCGAAAACTTTGACTGAAAGGCAGTGAATTGTTGCTATACCGAGTGCAATCAAAATCTAAGAATTACCTGACAATACTACGTCGAATTTAGCGATTCGCAAACGTATGTCAATGCTCGAAACATTGTCCACTATTAAATCCAACCAAAGATAGGCGAGGCAAAGAATAAATGTCGACGAAGAAAGAAGCAAACTATATCCACAAGATGCCTGATCTTCATTAAACAAGCACTTCCCATAAATATAGCAGCCGTTATGTACAATTGCAATATTGACAACTGCTAATATCTAAATGTATTTATTTTCTTATATATGGAATGAAATTACCACAATAATTAAGCGTAGGATAACCTGTGGCTTTCGAACATAATCTATAGGTTCCAAGCGAGCAGTAGTGCACACCCAATCAATGGGAAACATGACTGCTCTCAGGGCCAACCAGTTCCCGCCACTCAACAACAGATCTGGAAACTGATTGTTCATAAATGTTTCAAATGGTTGTGGACGGAATAGAAGAAGCTTTCGCTTAACAGGCTTCCGTGTCTAGTAGCAGGGGATCACCAAATCCTCCAGGCAGGAACCTAGGTATGTCAACAATAATAGAGGAAAAGAAATTGGTAAATCATAGTGTGATGCTGTCCTTGTTCCTTAAGAATAGGTCAAGTTGCCTCTTGAAGGACTCCTGAGAGGTCGCTTGGACTAGCTCGGCTGGCAGCGAATTCCAGCTTTTAACAACTCTTAAGGAGTAGAAGTTGTGTCTACATTCCGTCTTGCTATGTTGTGTTTCCAGTTTCTGGGTGTTACCCCTTAGGTTATTATTCGAACTAAGCTTAAGTAGGTGTTTAAGAGGATGTCCAGAAGTGTTAAGAATACTATAAGCCATTAATAAATCACCTCTAAGACGCCTATATTCTAATGGGTAAAGGTCTAGTGAATGGAGGGAGTACTATGTTTTCGTACTCTAAATGGGGACGGATGAAACTATTGAAGATTGTGTGGAAAGTTCGTCCGTCAAACTGTCCAAAAATGCGCTTCAACGTTACCAGTGCAAGGTTTGCTCGGAAGGCATTTTTGTCACAGTTAGCGTAAGACTTTAAATCATGGGGCACCAGGACTCCTAAATCTTTTTCGACTTGGGATACTACTAGAGAGGAGTTTCCTAAGTTGTAACTGTAGTTTGCAACATGTCGCAGATGGACTACTTTACACTTTGAAGTGTTAAAGGTAAGTCCGTTATCGTCTGCCCAACTTTGAAGTCGAGTCAGATCCTCCTGAAGTGCCTGTGTATCGTCTTGGTTGCGTATCTCTCTCCAAAGTTTCACGTCGTCGGCAAAAAGTAATAAGTCTGACGTTACCTGTTGAGGAAGATCATTTATGTAGATCAAGAAGAGAAGAGGCCCTAGTACTGAGCCCTGGGGGACCCCACTAGGACATTCCATAGCCTGAGATAAAGTGAAATTAACCCTAACCTTAAAGTGTCGATTTTTTAGGTATGAAGTAAGCCAATCGATTAGAGGTGGTTTGATACCTAGTCGTTTGAGCTTGTTGATAAGACACAAGTGGTTAACCTTATCAAAAGCTTTTGAGAAATCAAGGTAAATGACATCAACCTTTCCCTTGCAATCGAGGATGCTTGTCCATCTGTCCACCGCAGTCAGCAGGTTGGTTATACAAGAGTAACCCTTCCTGAAACCATGCTGTTGGGGTGAGAAGAAATTTAAGGACAGTAGATAGTCATTTAAACCGTCGCATATCAGGGACTCCATGAGTTTTGAAGGTAATGACAGAAGAGCCACCGGCCGATAACTTGAAGGTTCATTGCGTCGACCACCTTTGAAAATTGGTGTGATGTGAGCCAACTTCCAATTTTCCGGTAATTTGCCTCGGCTAAGCGAGTGTGAAAACATCACGCTAAGCGGCGTTGCCAGGATTGAGGCTGCCTCCCTCAGTATGGCAGGATGAACCATATCCGGGCCAGGAGAAGTGTCTAATCTTAAGTGCTGCAATTTCCGGAACACCAAGTCAGCGCTTAGGTCCACTTCAGAAAGTCCTGTGGAATTGCAGATGAAACTGTCGTCAGTAAAGTTGATGTCAGCCGGTTGAAATGTTTGAGAGTAATGTGCCGCCAGAAGGTTAGCGGCGTCGCCATCGTTGTTGGTCGGGCCGTTAAGACCTACCAGTTGAGAAACTCCTGTTTTGGCTTGACGAAGAGAGGCTGCATAACGGAATAGGCTTCTAGGGTTAGAGGCGAATTTGTCCATAAGCTTTGTTTGGTACTGAAGCCTGTCTTCTCTTATAGCCTTCGTGCATATGTTCCTGATATGTTTATATTGCCTATACGCTCCATCGTTATTAGTTCGTTTGTATTCCGCCCAACAGTGCCTTTTGCGGCTTAGCAGGCGAAGGGTACGGTTCTTGATTACTGTAGGTGGCTTGCAGCTTTTGGGAACCGTTTGAGGAACTGAATGGTTTGTAGCACATAAGAGCGTGTGCAGTAAGAAGTCCCAATGACCATCCACATCGAGTTGAGGGTGAACATCCCAAACCACCTGTTGTAGATAGTCATGTAGAGCTGGCACATTCAGCCGTTTAAAATTCCAACGCAAATTATTGTTGGGATACCTTAGCTTAGTTTTGATGACAAAACTGAAGGCTATGACGGCATGATCGCTCTTTCCCAGAGGAGCCAGGATTGAGAGGTTGTCGACTAGGAATTCTTCGTTAGTGAATACACAGTCTAAGCGCGATGGTGTCTGACTGTTTCTCCAACGAGTTGCCGACCTCACATTTTCATATAAGCCCAAGTCATCGATGAGGTTGAAGAACCGAGCTTCAATTGAGTTGTCGCCTCCAGTGTACGTGTGTTCCGCGAAGTTGACTCTAGGGAGATTAAAGTCCCCTAGAATCAGGATGTGTGTGAAACCGAGACGGATAGAGCGGGATAGTCCTTCCAGCATACGACTATCGTACTCGATGTCGGCAGTTGGCTTCCTGTAAATGACTCCGACTAGACACCTCGAAGTACTAGACAATCTTACAGAGCACCATATGGATTCCTCAAGATTGTTAAACTCGAGGTTGTGAACTTGGTGCACCTCCAAGCAAGAGCTTATGTATATGGCTACTCCGCCCCCAATTCCTGTTTTTCTGTCGTTGCGGAACAAAGTCATCCCAGGTAATGCTAACTCTTGGTCCGAGAACTGAGAAGATATCCAGGTTTCAGATATTCCTATCAGATGGGCCTTATTAGCGTTGCTAAGTTCACGTAGTTCATCCAGTTTGTTTGGTAGACTCGCGGCGTTCATATATAAGCAGTTTATGCTTTCAATTTGGAACGCGTGAGCTTCGTCCTGTTTTTCTGTATGAACCTTATGTGAATGGACAGGTAGCCCACCTATATGAGGTTTGCCGAGGTGGTAGGCCCTGTCCTTTACACGTTTTTTTATCGTTTAGACAGTCCACAAGTGGAATGGTCAGCTCCAACTTGCCTTTGTGTTTGGTCCTAGCTTCGTATGGCCTATCCGGGTGCATGTGGATTCCAGGTGGCAATCGACGTCTATTGGCACGAAATGCTTCCAGAACTGCAGCCGCCATGTGGGAAGATGGGAAGGTTATCTTCATTAGACGAGGTCTAGGATCACCGTCCTTCTTGGCTAGTCTCGTCACATGCTGAGTCAGTATGTGTTTGAGCCTCAAGGACTGTTTGATGAATTTCCATTCCCTGATGTCAGAATTTGATTGAGTAGGGTCTGCATTTTCCGGTATACCTTGCACAATTATGTTTCTTCCGCGGAAAAACTGATCGCGAGATTCTTTAGGGATGTTTCGTATGATATTGCGCTCAGAGTACGGTATGTCGGGCAATATTTTTACGTTACCATCGGATTTCAGCAAGTGACTTGCTAGCAAGACGTCCTCTACGTCGGTAGCATTCTTAAGTGTTACTCGGAGAAGCCTCGGGTGATTTAGATGCTTAGAATCCTTTCCTCGAGTGAGCCGGGTGACCGTCAAAGGCTCTATTCTAGGAAGTTCGAGCTTCTTGTTCAATTCACCCCAGAGCATCCTATCGTTTTTGACCTGAACTACACGATTGTGTTTTCATTGTACTTTTATGTTGCATTGACCTGCGTTTTGAGCTTAAAGTTAGCCATAGATCCTCACTTACATCAAATTCAACGTTGAGTTCAATTGTGATTGGGTTGTGTAGGCTACTTCAGTATTGTAGGGAACTTAAGCCAGCCGTCGTAATTTATGCCACAGAGCCTGACCTTCGAGATATTTCCCAGGTGGTTATAAAAATGGTGGACAGTTGGGCGTACTGGTGTAAACACTACCTCTCACACAAATGTGAGTATCAGTGTAGGGCCAGTGAAATGTCACTGAGCCCCAGCCAAATCATCTGGCAGTTGGGTCACTGAATATCGAACAGATCATTGATCCCTGTCAAAGTCAAGGACAACCAGTGCGCATCAGTGGATCGTATGTCATGAACTGGTGCATGAGGTGATGATCTCGCTATCTTCTCTGTACTCATTCTTACTGATATATTTCCTTAATAACGTCCTTTGTGTTATACTGTCTTCAAAGCAGCCATAGTACCTTGATGCATCGAAGGGATAATCCACGTTAGATGTTGACCGTAAAGTGTGACTTCTAAGTTAGCTGTTTCATCATAACGTTCCCGTCTGACTCGAGTAGGCCTCCAATCATTCGACATAGATTATCTACGTTGTTGATCTACATCTGGTTGTTCGTACTGTTTCTTATGTTTAATGTTTGAGGTCACATATTTTCAGTTCATGCTAAATTATTCGATGGATTTGTTCGTTGTAAATCATAAGAACGTTCGTCGAGAATGTCGACTTTTATCCCATCTTGACGTTACGTGCTTTGCTGTATTTGATTTCGTCGTTGTGTTAGTTAATAAATTTTATAGAGAAGGATGATGCTAAATATTATAAATTTCACTGTGTTTTAGATGTATTTGCTTTACTCAAATTCTGAATTGTTGTGTTCAGAACTTTTACCTCGGATATTCTGCTTTCAGTCTATTTTTTGTATGGTGTTTGGGACGTTTTGTTCTGGAAACCCGAAAAACTGAAAGCTGATTTCTCGAAATAAATGATAAATTTTGGCACTTGGGCCGAAATTTAGGGTTAATTGTTACCACTGGATCGATCAACAGTGCATCAATAACGGACAAGACCAAAATTTGGACGTAACACTGTGAACTACCATCGCACGTTCGCCGAATTGATCCGAACTGTTTTTGATTAAAGCTTTATTTTAGTATCAGGTCTCACTTCATACCCTTCTACGTAAATTTATTCCAACACTATGGTGTGTGATAATGTCGATCTCGGGAGCCGATGAGCAGCTATTTATTCACCACTCTCAACTGAACAGTTCATGTATAATCTCTTGCGCGAAATGCACATTATAAAATCCCTAGGTTCAAGAGA